GTTCAGCAGTCAAAATGGAGATTTACAGTTGTTTAAGTGATAGATGGAATATTAGCCCAGGTTTAACTCAGTGGACCCGTTGGTTCACAGGCTCACACTATGATTATATTTCCAGTTCTGGAATGTATAACTGGAATAGAAATACTGGGCTACTGGTGGAATCTCCACATTTTTTTTTTTTTTCTTGCGTTATGCGGGCCTCTCACTGTTGTGGCCTCTCCCATTTGCGGAGCACAGGCTCCAGACGCGCAGGCTCAGTGGCCATGGCTCACGGGCCCAGCCGCTCTGCGGCATGTGGGATCTTCCCGAAACGGGGCACGAACCCGCGTCTCCTGCATCGGCAGGCGGACTCTCAAGCACTGCGCCACCAGGGAAGCCCGGAATCTCCACATTTGACTCTGACCCAGGAGAGGAAGGGCTAGTGGAAGTTTGGGAATTTCTCCCTATCAAGATAGTAAGCCAAAAGCACAAACATATCCCTAGGGGAACTTCAGAGGTTAGTGCCACCACCAGGGATGATGTTATCTATCACATCTCCATTTAATTCATCTGGTTAGTCTGTGCAGAAGTTGGACGAATCTTTAAGAATGAGTGTGGATTATTGTTAAACTTAATCAATAATGGTCACCCTGAAGGCAGCTGCTATTCTAGATGTGGTATTATCACTGGTGCAAATTAACACAGCCTCTAGCACCCGGTATGAAACTATGCATCGAATAATGCAGCTACTTACCTGGCAGCAGAGGCTAGCAATGAGCTCCAGAAATGACACCATTCCTCATTGGAACTGACCAACCACCTAGCGGCAGGTTGCATGCACTGGATGCAGGGGGCAGAGATTTGTCCTCTTTGTAACAAATGCTTTCTTTATATGGATGTGCCTTCCCCGCTTATAATGCTTCTGCTAGCACCACTATCAACTGGAATGCCTTATCCATTTTCAAGGTGGTAAAGCAATGAGCATATCTATGGAATAAAATGGTTTTATCACATACCCAGAAATAGCTGGCCTAACATAAAGGCTTACTGAAATGAGTTGGGAGACAAAACTCTCAAAGGCTGGGGTTCTGTCTTTCAGAATGCAGTATTGGGACCATTATTTGGTTCTATCCTAACCACAGCCAAAATTCAGTCTAGGAATGAAGGGGTGGAAATAGGAGTGGCTCCTTTCACTATTATATCTAATAATCCACTCAACCTGCAACTTGAGCTCTGCCTGTTGGTTAGTCCTCAAGAGAAAATGCTTCTTTCATAGGAATACAACAATGGTTCTGTTGAATTGGAAGATGAGACTGCCACCTGGCCTTTTTTGGACTCATCATACCATTGAACCAGCAATAGGCAAAGACGGTGTTTATTGGTTAAAGTGATTCTGATTACCAAGGGGAATAGATAACACAACAGTAGCCAGGAGGATTGTGTCTGCCACCCAGGAGACTCCCTGGAACACAACCTAGTACTTCCATGACCAATAACAGAAGTTAATGGAAAACTAAAGCAATCAAAAAAAGACAGAATTACTAAGGATTCAGCCCCTTCAGGAATTAAATTTTCGGTTATCCCACCCAGTAAAGAACCCTCACCAACTAAGGTACTGGCTGAGGGCAAAGGAAATATGGAGTGGGTAGTGGAAAAAGCAAATCATAGGTATCAACTATCACTTCTTGACCTTCTTGTTCTGTCTTTTACATACCTTGTATTTTCCTCTCTATCTCTGTGCTGCATTCTGAGTAACTACTTCAACACTACCAGTTTATAATTTCTCTTTTAAGGTCTAACTAATTTACAGTTTAATTGATTAAGATATTAATTTAAGTAATTATATTGTCATTTAAAAATTTCTAATTGGTTATTTTTAAAAGTCAATTTTGATAGTTTCTTATTCTTTGCTCATGGTTTTGATACTTTCTTTTATGTCTGTAGCCATATTAAGTATATGTTTTATTTTGTACCTGATAATTTGCATATCCTATACAGCAGGGGCCCCCAACCCCCAGGGAACTGGGCCACACAGCAGGAGGTGAGCAGTGAGCAAGCCAGCGAAGCTTCATCTGTATTTACAGCCGCTCCCCATCGCTCACATTACTGCCTGAGCTGCGCCTCCTGTCACATCAGTGGCGGCATTAGATTCTCATAGGAGCGCGAACCCTACTGTGAACTACACACGCGAGGGATCTAGGTTGCGCGCTCCTTATGAGAATCTAATGCCTGATGATCTGAGGTGGAGCTGAGGCAGTGATGCTTAGTGCTGGGGAGCGGCTGCAAATACAGATTATCATTAGCAGAGAGGTTTGACTGCACAGAGACCATAAAAAATCAACTGTTTGCAGACTCATATCAAAACCCTATCAGTGAGTGGCAAGTGAAAACAAGCTCAGGGCTCCCACTGATTCTGCATTATGGTGAGTTGTATAATTATTTCTATTATTATTACGTTGTAATATATAATGAAATAAAGTGCACAATAAATGTAATATGCTTGAATCATCCCAAAACCATCCCCTGCCCCCCCCCGGTCCGTGGAAAAACTGTCTTCTGTGAAACTGGTCCCTGGTGACAAAAAAGGTTGGGGACCACTGCTATAGAGCTTTTATGTGTTTTGTAGTCTTCCATAATTGGAAGAAATGGAACTATTCACCTATATTCAAATTTCACATTTAAGTCAAAGGGAAAATGAATCTAGGGTTTTTTTTAAAATACAAGTTAAGCATTTCTATTGCATGTGTGCTCATCTTATTACCCTCATGATCAAAAACAGTATAGAACTTCTTGGTTCACAGTGCACTTTACATCTCAGCAATTTTTTCATGATGCTCCTAGGCCGAAAAATATACCAAACACTTCTATTAAGTAGTTAGGTTCAAACAACTTAAGTATTTATGTCCCAACCACTTAATAACTATTTGCAAAAATATTATACACAAATACAAACACATATATAATGAAAGAATGTGAAGGTTTATCCAAAGTCCACTATAAATTACTATGCTAATTAAAAGCCTCAGGTAATTTAGTAAGATCAAAAAGCCAGAATATCCTAAGTAGCATGAATGATCAACTTTTGTTGTTAAAACATTAATATATGAGTTTGCTATTTGTTTAGCTTCCTTAGCCAGAGTTGTCAATACATAAATTTTGTAATTATTTACATCTTTCAGGACAAGGATATTAAAAATGTAAGAAGCCCCAAAAAATGGATAGAAAAAGAACCTGTATGCCAGCAATAAGTCAACAAACAGCCTCTCCAGCTGGCAAACTCCTTACTCATTTTACATGGCTAATCATAAATATCATTTTCTATGTAAAATTCTTCTTGTTTAACAACTCTCAGTCACAATTTGAAGCTCCCTCCTTAAGGCTCTCATGGGACTACATATATGCATACATAGAACACTGCATATAATTCTTTGTTTATATTTTTGCTTTATTTACTAACTGTGAGCTCTCTGAGTGCAATGGTTCTATAATCCTCATCTTTTATGATGAACAATTTTTTTAATATCTTTTTTTAATCCTTTTTTTTTTTAGATGTTGGGGGTAGGAGTCCATCAATTAATTTATTTATTTTTGCTGTGTTGGGTCTTCGCCTCTATGCGAGGGCTTTCTCCAGTTGTGGCAAGCGGGGGCCACTCTTCATCGTGGTGCGCAGGCCTCTCACTATCGCGGGCTCTCTTGTTGCGGAGCACAAGCTCCAGATGTGCAGGCTCAGTAGTTGTGTCTCACGGGCCTAGTTGCTCCACGGCATGTGGGATCCTCCCAGACCAGGGC